TCGTCTGCAGATGGTAGGCTGTACTTAAATACAACTTCATACCCAGTTCCTCTTGTAGACTTTTCCAAAATCTTGATATGAAACAACTGTTACGATCCGATAAAATCATTAATGGTACACCATGAAGTCTTACTATCTCCTTCACATAATAATTTGCAAGCTTATCCATATACCACCTCTCATTAGTTTCTATAAAGTGTGCACTCTTTGTGAACCGATCCACGACTACCCAAATCATGTCGTGACCGTTCTACTTACTAGGCAGTTTACTCACAAAACCTATGGTGATGTCTTCCCATTTACCCATGGGTGTAGTTAAAGGTTCTAAACTCCCATACAGTTTCTAATGTTGGGCTTTAACTCTTGCACATGTTACACAATCTGCCAGATACTTTGTTACATCAAGCTTCATCATCGACCACTAGTAGTAAGGTTTCAGATCCCTATACATCTTACTGCTGCCGGGATGAATCGAGTACATGATATTGTGAGCTTCTTCCATCAAAAGATCTCTTATTCCTCCCATCTTACGCATCCAAATTCTATCTTGTAACACCTTCAACCCTTGACTATTTGTACGGAATACCAACATTTTTCCTAAAAGTTTCCTTTCAGCCATTTTTCTCCAAAGGTTCTTCCTGAGCTTTCTTAATGCTTTCCACAATAGTTGAGACAACTTCTATTCTTACCGATCTTGGCCTTTTTCTTTCCAACTTTAGTTTTTGACTTATAGAATCATCTAGGAAATTTGCTTTACCAGGGTGATAAAGTATCTCACAATCGTAATCCTTGAGAAACTCTAGCCAGCGTCGTTGCCTCATATTCAATTCCTTTTAATGAAAGAGATATTGGAGACTTTTATGATCAATGAAGATTTTTCACTTTGTTCCATAAAGAAAATGCCTCCATATATATATATATATATATATATATATATATATATATATATATATATATATATATATATATATATATATATATAATTCGAATACTACCACTGCCAACTCCAGATCATGAGTGGGGTAGTTATTCTTGTGCTCTTTCAATTGTCGAGATGCATATGCTATCACTTTATCTCTCTAGGCCAGAACACAACCTAACCCAACTCCGAGCGAGAACAACTTCCCGCTGAAGGACCTCGGTGCGGTTCCTGGTGTGGTCGTGATCCTGATCTAATCACTGAAAACGGGCTGATGTGACATCCGCAGTCGCACCCACCTCTAAGATCTGAGTGGCGGATGCCCGGATTTGTTAATCGTGTCGAGCGACAGTGGATAATGACAAGGAGGGCCCTATCGGCCGAGCCTCCCCTATCGAGGTTGTAGAAACCTCTATTGTTGCCATACGGGGGGGGGGGGGGGGGTTAGCCTTGTTCCTGGCTCCACACTCCTAGGTTCGCTCCTCATGGAGGAGTCGGTCCTGTACAGGAGCATGTGAAGGGAGAGGGTCATGCACTTTGGGGCCTCCCTTTTTGTCTTCCTCCATTTCTTCTTCTTCAACTTCTTCTTCTTCTTCTTCTTCTTCGGGGTCCTTTTCAGGGTCTTCTTCAGGATCTTCCTCGATCATCTCCTCGGGTTCTGCCTCAAGCCATCCAACGTTTCCCTCATTAGGGAAGTACGGGTCTCCAAGTAGATGGAATCCGGCCATGTTGTCTGTGCGGGAATAGGAGTGTAAGAGGCTCGATAAAATATATTTTTACTCTTAGTTTCATAAAATACTCCTATAGTATTTTACATAATTGTTGGTGTTCTAATTATGGCTCTGGCATAATTGTTGGTATATTAATAGACTTGTTGTCCACTACAACTATCCCTCGCCATATGCTAGTCACTTCTCGGACGAATATATATCCTTTCTAGACCTGATTACATACCCTGAGGCATAATGTTAGCGTCCAACTCGCCAATTTTATTTTATTTTTTGTAGCTTATCCTGGATGTGCCACAAAACCGGCATGCATGCATGTACTTATACTTTTTATCAAGAAAATATTTCATTTCTAAAAGTATAGTTATTTGAAAAATGGTTAATCAGAGACTTTTAGTCCCAATGCATTTATAGTTTGTATATCTTATGTGGGTTGACATACTAAGTTCACTATAAACAATGCTCTGATACCAATCTGTCGCACCCCCAAACCAAGGATGGTCAAAACGTCTGAGGGTTGAGGACTTCATGTATAGTATCACAACAACGAGTATAATAGTGCTCATAGTACAAACAACCAACATAAATATAATTGCAAAAGTTACATCATAGTATGAGTTTACATGTTTCTAAATCAATTACATTATGTTGACAAAAATACAATGATTAACGCTTTAGCGTTCCATCCTCAAAAGTCGCGACTGTCCTGTTTTACGGATTTCCTGAGAATACAAGTAGTTTTGAAAAAGTGTCAACAATTAAGTTGGTGAGTTCATAAGCTTTTAGAATGAACTGTTGAAATCCTTTCTTGTAAAAGTAGTGTTCGTTCCAGAAAATCCCTTATTTTCTTTCTAAAATGTATTATAGTCTAAAATGTCAAGACTAATAGTGTACTAGTATGTTTCCATTTATATTTTGAATCATGCAAGTTTAAATTGGCATAAACTTGTTAGTTTAAATGAAAATCCCGTAAATCTTATGTTTGTTAATACCCCATGTGAGTTATTATAACCATACTATAACTTTGTTGGCCTTATATACGACGACCTTCGGGCGTCGGAAATGTTAATGACATTTGTCACCTCAAACCCGTCGGTCTAGCTGTTGCATGCAACAAAGGTGTGGGTTTGTCAAACCCAATATAGATCTATATACAACTATCACGTTCTCCCTACAAGATATTTTGGTTATAATTAAAGGACTTTTGCTGCGCTACTTGGAAGTAACATGAAGCGAATGTCTCACAAATTTATTCATTAACCGATTTACGTAGTGTACTAGTGAAAACCCCTTTTTGTAGTAATGTTTTCTTTTGTATTGTATAGGTAACATAAACTATACCTATTATAGTTTATCCAAATGTTTATTGTGTGTAGTATTCACTTTCTATGTAAGTAGAATATATATAGTAAAACGATTCTATGTTTTCCATGCTTCATAATGCATTAATTGTAATGATGAAGAATTCTTACAATTTAATGAACATTTTTCTTTAACATAAATGTATCAAAACAGAAAACTTATGCAAAATATGAAAACATCATGGTTTTACACTTTGCTCAACAATTTACAAAGTGTTAATAAATTTGTAATCTGTGAACTCGTTTTTACCATTTCTGCATTGATTTAGAAAAATCATAGAAAATTCACATGAGATTGAAAACTAGATCCGTAAGCTATGAGAGCTTAGAAAATGTGTCTAGTTTATTCACAATTTATAATATTATTTTTAGAAGTCCTTAACTTGTGTAAAAATGTTCATATTCACAGACTACTCCAAATTCGTAGCTACAATGATAGGCAGTTTTGTAAAAATCACCATAAATTGTAGAAAAATCGTATGTACATGTGAAAGTAGTCATTTTAAAGGTATAAACCTAAAATATTTTCAACTAATACATTTTTTAAATCTAAAAAGTTTAAGGTGTTGAAAACAGTTGGTGAATGAGCATTAAGGTGCTGTTTGTTTTTCTGAAGCCAAAATGTCTGCAGTCTGCGGACCACATCTGCAAGCCTTTGCAGCAGAAGAGGTGGACCAAACGTCTGTAGTTTGCAATAAGAAGACTGTTTGTTTTTTAACGTCTGCAGGCTATTGAAATAAACTGAATTTTAAATAAAATGATTTTACAAACTTAAAATGATTTTTCAACACTAAAATTTTAATAATAATAGTCTTATAACATTGAAAATAAAATTCATTCAACTAAATTAGTAATATGATCAAAAAATTAGGTTTTACAATAACAATTTCATTTAAAACAATTCAATCTATATGGTGCATTAACTGATCAACAATTTCATCCCTTAACTGAATTATATATTCACGGTTTGCTGCAGTACCATGTGTTGGAATCTCGTCTTCATCATCCTCAATGGGAACATTATTATTTCGAAATGGGACATTGGGTTCATCGTATCGTGTGAAATACTCATCACTCAGTCCTTCTCTCCTTATAAAATTATGAAGCGCGAAACATGCCATGGCAATGTTTCTTTGTGTCACAAACGGAAATGGTTCCCTCCTCTTCAATATAGGGAAGTGTGGTTTCAAAACACCAAAAGCACGCTCAATGACATTCTGAAGTTTTGCATGTTCATGGTTAAAATTTTCTTTATTGGTCAACGCACGTCGTTGACGAAAATCTCCAAGCCAATACCTCACATTACAATAAGGGGTCATAAATCCTCGAGTGTGTGCATACGCGGCATCACAAAGATAATATTTGTCTATAAAAAATGAAAAACACTAATCAATTTTCAAAGTAAGATAAAAATATTTAAAAAAACAAAAACTTACCTGGTGGTGGAAACGGGAATGACGCTTGTGGATCGGCTACTGCTTCTGATAATATTCTAAAGTCATTCGCTACCCCTTCCCACCTAGCCACAACAAATGTAAACATCATGTTGAAGTCACAAATTGCCAATACATTTTGGTAGAAATCTCCCTTTCCCCTACTTCTATATATGTCTTGTTTCTTAGCAAGGACAACAACATGTATCAAAGTTCCATCAAGTGCACCAACCGCCCCTTTGAAAACCCGTCGTAGCCTCCTATTATGTCCTGGAATGTTTGGATTCGGATTAAAAGAAGTTGGTACTATAACATCTTGTGCGAAAATCATCATTTTTTCCAACACTTCATAAAAAAATTTATGAACTGTTTGCTTCGAGTGTTGAAATATCCACTTGATAATCACGTAACGTTGATTATGGTCGTTCATCATCAAAAACATAGCTATCTTTTCCTCAACCGATACATGAGCACATAGTCATACAAAAGAGTCACGGGACATACGTAGTACTTCAACACATTGTAAACGATTACGATGTAATAACTCCAATGTGTATTCATGTCTCGTCATTTCCTAATCATTATCCCTCAATCGTTTCACACCCCTCTTCCAAAAATAACGGATGTACAGGTACATAAGAATGACGAGAAGTAACTTTTGATTGTGATCCATTATAAACCTAAAATAAACAAAGTAGAACTTAAAAAAACATTACATTAATCATATTTCAAGTAGCAAATAAACATTACAAAAACCCTATTTCAAGTAGCAAAAAAAATTTACATAAACTATATTTCAAGTAGCAAATAAAAATTACATAAACCATATTACAAGTACCATCAAAACATTAGATAAACCATATTCCAAGTAGCAAAATAACAAAAAATAGTTCCAACAAAAGCAAATAAGACCTAACAAATAGTTTCAACACTAGAAAAATCATCCGACAATCTTCCCATCCTTCAAGACTCTTAAACTTGTACCCGTCATCTCAAGCCATCCTCGTAATATCTCGGGAATATCAGGCAAATGCATCCACATCTCTCTCATGTTCATGGTCCCTGCAAAAATATGATATGCAACAAAGTGTAAAGGATCTGTAGGGCCTAATTGAAGCACCTCTAACTTCTCTAAACATTGAGGAATTGTATACCTTTTAGTCAAACTTTGTAGAGCTTTTTTCATTTCAAATGCTAAATCGTCAGCAGTAATAGAAGTTCCATCAGGTGAAGAAGCAGACGGTGAGGCACTAGGAGGTATAGGAGTTGAGGGTTTAGCCCTTTTGTTGGGGTTACTAGATGGTGAAGTAGTATAAGGTGAAGCAGCAGAAGGTGAAGCAGCTGAAGGTGAAGCAGAAAAAGGTAGTGGCCCACAATGGGAAGTGTCATCACCATCATCATCTATTGCATGAAAAGGGGTGGCGGTAATCTGAAGTGGTGGAACACGACAAGAGGATGCTCCAGCTACTGATGATGACTGGGTTGAGTAGCTCCTAAAATTACCAGTGGCACTATTACCATCAAAAAGATGTGCAAAAAGATCTGGAAAAGGCAATGGAATTTTTCTCAATGAAGCAGCCTTCGGATGCCCCTAAACCTAAATGTAACAAAAAAAAGTATAAGAATATTAGGGAACTTCAAACTTAAATGTTATATATATATATATATATATATATATATATATATATATATATATATATATATATATATATATATATATATATATTAATATATGTACCTTCTTAAAATCATCCCACTTCTCGGATGTTAAGTTAAAAGTATTTGTTTGAGAATTGTATATATTACCAGTTTTGTTTTTTAAATATACCCATCCCGTGTATTTGGCATTCAGATTGTCATATGCATTTTTCATTTGTTTTTGAGTCAACTCAACCCCAAATTTCTCCTTAAGAACTCTTCCAAGCCTTATCCATGAATCTTTCTGCAAACTCAAGCCTTTTCTACCAACACTTTCTACTTCTTCAATACAAGTATCCAATAAACATTTTAAATGCTCATTGGTCCATTGTTGTTTTTCACCCATTTTTATTAAAAAAATAACAATTTGAGACAAAAAAAAAGTAACAATTTGAGACAATTAACAGTCAACAAATAACAACAGTTTTAAGCACTTTCAACAACAATTTGAAACAATTTTAAGCACATTCAACAACTATTTTAAGAACAAATCAACAAGAATTACAACATCCACAACAATATTTTTTTTCCAGCACTTGATTACATCAATTACAGCAACATCTAACATCAAATTTAAGAAAAAAAACATTTTCATCAAAAGTAATCAAGAAATTTGACTGGATTATAGACTTTTCAGCAAGAATAAACATCAAATTTAAGAATAAACAAGCATTTCAGCAAAAGAAATCAAGAACTTACAACATTCACAACAATATTTCTTATTTCCAGCACTTGATTTCATCAATTTCAGCAACAAATAACATTAAATTTAAGAAAAAAAACCATTTTCAGCAAATAGAATCAAGAAATTTGACTAGATAATAGACTTTTCAGCAAGAGTAAACATCAAATTTAAGAATAAGCAAACAATTTCAGCAAAAGATATCAAGAAATTACATTATTTTCAGCACTTGATTTCATCAATTTTAGCAACATCCAACAAGAAACTTATGCAAGAAAGGAAAAGGAATCAACAAATTTGAGAAGATTATAGACTTTTCTGCAAGAATAAACACCAATTCAATGTGAAATTTGAAAAAAAGGAAACAGAGCATACCTTAGATAGCTACCATGTCCGACAGCCGAGAGGAAGCGCAGCCTGAAGTCCGACGTTCTGGTCGGTGACGGTCGACGTTGTGGTCGGTGGAGTGATGCAGGGAGATCGGTGGTGGTGGAGAGAGAGTTGAGGCGCCAATGGTGAACATGGGTTCGTTCAAGGAGGAGTCGACTGGAAGTAGCATCGTTTTTTTTAAGTTAAAATCCCGCAGATGTTAGAAGTGGGTGGTCAATGTCTATGTGGTGAAGACTTTACGCAGACGTTTTTAGATCTTAGCCCTTCGAAAAAACAAACAATCTCCAGGATAAAAGTCTGCGTGTTGTCTGCGGGGCGCAGACAAAAGTGGTGTTGCAGCTCTTTTAAAAAAAAACAAACGACTCCTAAGTTTTCTGTTGAAAGTTGTTGTTTGAGTTTAGTTATGTTGTTGGTGATTTAACTTGTATTCTCCCCCTAAAACTTGAAGAAAACATGAAAATGTGGGGGGTATGAACTCACCTTGAGTGATTTCAGTGGATGGATGTTGAAGAACGGAAGTGTTCAACTCAAGAACACTTAGAAGATTGCGTGAAGATTCGAAGTTCTAACATGAATATGATGAAATTTGTGTAAGAAGATTATGACTGGAGTAGAAAAAGGTGGAAGAATCATATGAAGGATGATTTTACTTACCAAAAGTAGATGAAGAACTTAAAAATCACCCTTGAAATCTCAAAATTTAGAGAGAGAAAGGAGTTTGTTCTTTGGTGGAGGAGGAGTGAAGTGGGAAGAGAGATGAGGGTTTCCAGCTTTTGCTTCAAGAGCATGGATGGAAAAATGGTGGGAAAAGGATAATGATTGACCAGGTATGGGGGAATAGTGGCTGGGTATGGCCTTCGAGTGAGTGTGGGAGGTTGCTTGTGTTATTGTACAAATGATAAGTCAACACTCCACCCACATAACTTACCCACTATATTTTATTCTTAAATAAATATTCCCATAAAAATGTGTTTAAATTATGGAAATATAGGGTCTTATATGTTAAAATATAAGTTTGGGTGAAAATCTCGCATTAAAATCACGAAAAACGAACTTAAAACGTGAAAATGGTAAAAAACCGGGAAATCATGCGAAAATACGAAGTCTGGGCCGGAGGTTCGGTCCCTGATGCCTAGAACCGAAAGTAGGAGGGAGCTGAAGGTAGGGCTCGGTCATTAGAGGTGAACCAAGATAGAGGGGTTCGGCTGGGAGGTGAGAACCGAGATAGAGGTTCGGTCGGGTAAGTTGGCATGCGAGGAAGGGAGGCGAAGGCGAAGCTCGCTGGGGGAAAGGAAGCGAAATGGACCGAAGGCTCGGTTTATTTCGGCTGCTGATAGCTTCGGTTCTGACACGTTCGGTTCTGACAGGCTCGGCTCGGTGGTTCGCTTCTCATGAGTTTCGATTCCGGCAGGAGGTTTCGGTTCTTAGGGAGGTTCATCTCCTTAGGGGGCTTCGGCTTCTTAGGGGGCTTCAACTCTCATCTTAGGGAGGTTCGGCTCTAAGAGGCTGTTTTTCGCGTTAACTCTCCGTTTTGCGTAGTTTTTGGCTAATATAAGGGTCGGGATGACTCGAATGACTATAAAAAGTTGAAAGGGATTTTAAGAGAGATTTGGGAGAGATTTTACATACATAGAGAGATTTAGGAGAGATATCACATACATAGAGAGATTTAGGAGAGATTTCACATACTTAGAGAAATTTGCAAGAGATTTCACATACATAGAGAGATTTGAGAGAGATTTCACATACTTAGAGAGATTTGGGAGAGATTTCACATATATAAAGAGATTTGGGACATATTTCACATACTTAGAAAGATTTGGGAGAGAATTCACATACACAGAGAGATTTGGGAGTGATTTCACATACTTAGAGAGATTTGGGAGAGGTTTTACATACTTAGAGATATTTGGGAGAGGTTGAGAGAGACTTTGTTTGTGACCTTTTGGGTGTTCAGCTTTGCAACGCAAGGTTCGTACATAGTGTTAAGCTTAGTTATGATGGTTTTATGCCCCCGAGGGATATGAAATAACGTTTTATCGAATAGTTTCATCACTTACCCTGATTAGGGTTTGAAATTTCTGAACGAATGAACTTTCCAAGTGATAACTTCTTATTAAAATAGTGAGTTGCACAATAGTACATAGTATAAGCCCTAATATACAAGGGTTAGATGAGTTGACTCGTTTGATCGGTTGACTTTGGTTGACTTTGACTTGATCGGAAATTGACGGTTGTCACATACACGCCTGTGTAAACGTAAATTTCTACGCAATGTATTTTTGCATTTACGCGGGCGCATAAATGACAATGTTAATTTTCACGGGCCGTGTAAATGTAAATATGGGTTTTAAAGCAGTTTTTCACCATTCTTAAAGGGGGGTAACCAATTTTTTTTAAGGAGGGGTCGATTTTGGAAGCAAAGAAGGCGATTTTCTGGAGGATTTTGGAGTTTATTAACACTTGGGAACATTTGATTTCATTTTGTAAGAACTTTAATTTCATTTTCTAGATTTGTAATCTTGTTCTAGTCATAAGTGGCTAGAACCCTAGTTTCTCCAACTTCATGTCTTGACTTTTTAGTTGTGATTTCAATCATGTGATTTGATGTTTGCTTCTAATTCCTACCTAGTGAATTTGATTTTGTTTCAATTGAATGTTTGATTCTAATTGTGATTCTTATTGGCCATTTGAATTAGGGTTATGTCATTCAAGTTATCAGATTGCAAAATCTGTAATTGTTTTATGAATTGAACTAAGTAACAAACACTAAATTGATTTCCATTGAATGAATTTAAGGTAAATCTTATTCACATACTCTTACACTCCTAAGCTTGGAGGGGCATCCATCTACATTACCCACATTCAAATCGGTCAAAACTTCTCAATCCCCAAGCCCCGTAGCCTTATGATAATTGATATTCGGGTCACGAACCAAATAATGAAATGACTCGAAACAGGGTATTACATAATGACCATAACGAGTTCGGAACGTTGTCTTTTCCACATCCTCCTCTCTGACCCTCATTTGATGATACCTCGAGCTCAAATCAATCTTGGAGAACCAAGAGGCACCCTTTAACTGATCAAAAAGATCATAAATCCTGGGGAGTGGGTAATGGTTCTTCATCGTCAACTTATTCAACACCCGATAATCTATGCAAATATAGTGAGACTCATCCTTCTTCCTCATAAATCTAATAAGTGCTCCCCAAGATGAACCACTTGGCCTGAGGAACTACTTACCCAATAGCCCTGAAGCTGAGATGACAACTCCTACATCTCCAGTGGTGTACGAAATACAATGCCTTAGCAATCAGAGCCTCACCGGGGATGGAATCGATCCTGGACTCCATCTGACTTATGGGAGGCACACCAAGTAGATCCTCTACAAAAACATCTGGATACTCTTTGACCACAGGCACATCTGATACCAAAAATCTCCCCTCAATACAATTGTCAACCACATAAGCGAAATAGTCCAAACATCCATGTTGGAGATACTCACCAACCTTGGTTGCCAAAAAAAGTAGATCTAACCATAGTAACCTCACCATAGATGGTTAGTTCTTCCTTACTTCAGGTTTGAACTAACACCAGCTGCCTCTCACAATCAATCATGTTCCCAAACCTACTCAACCAATCCATCCACACTATCCCACACACATCTCCCATCGGGATGGGGATCAAGTTGTAACTCCCGTAGATCCGGGCTAGTCAATTTAGAGACAATAAGTGTCGAAAACACCTTTTCGACAAAGGATTATTTAGAATAAATAATCTTAACCAAGTTGTAGAATATGTCTCAAGTTTTCCGTACATATAAAGAACGCTGAAATCCGAGTTATAACGAAGAAGTTATGACCCGTTGAAGTTTTGCGACGGAACCAACACGATACCGGGAAGCGCAAATAGTGAATTTACAATAGAGCAAGATTTAGCCTTAGCACTCTAAACGAAAGTTTTAGAATGTGTTAAACTAAGAACATCGATAAAAAGAATGCCCAAATCTGACTTCGTACGAAGAAGTTATGATTTTTCGAAGTTTCGGATTAGCAGTATACAACCCGAGATTTGAATATTAGATCGAGCGATTATTAGCCGACACAACCTAAAAGAGAATCTAAGATCTCGTTAAAAGTAGCATAACGAGAAAAAGATGGGTGAAAACGGACATCAGATGAAAAAGTTATGAGGATTTAACGGACCGATCCTGTCTCGTCCTGTTAATAATAAAAAATTTAAAATCGAGTCAAAATTAGCCGACGGAGTCTAAACGAAAGTTGTAGAGTACATTCCCACCTTAGCGTGGATATAGAGAACGTCGAAAATGGATCTCGTATGTGAAAGTTATGAATTTTAGAAGTCGGAGTATGAAATTGCGAAGGCTGATAAGAGCTTGATGACGTGGCGCGTTGTGGGTCGTCCATCGCTGATCAGTGAACGCTTCGGATTCGGACACGCCTCGCCTCGTTACGCCCAGCGTCCAAGGTCAAGTACGTGCGGCATACCTTCGGCCTTATCTCCTCCGATGAATGCGAGACAGCTGGGTCCAGGTGGCGCCCTTATCCGAGGAACGCCCAGCATAGCCAAGGACTACGCCCAGCGTAATCCGAGGCCTCGCAGGGTATAAAAAGGGGCGAGGCTCTCCAACATTTTGACACCAATTCTTCTTCTTTCTCTCACTACTTTCTCTCTCTAGCTCCTCTAAACCTCCCTAGGCCCTAGATAAAATCCCTAGCTCCCGAGGGAAGCCCCGAGGCTCCCGGAGTCCCGAGAAAAAGTGTCTTTCGGTTTCGAAACGCTGCTCCAATTAAGTTCTGGTTTTCGATAAAATTCGCTATAAGTGAGCTACGCTTACGCAACTTTTAATATAGCTTTCAAATAATTATAGGAATGTTATTAGGTCCTTAAAATAATTATTTGGGCTATTATTATGAGTTATATTGAGTGTTACTAACGCTTATATAATAATAATAATAATAGTCAGACTAATTAAATTGTTGCGGTTATCGTTAGACTAAACCCTAGTGGTATTGGTACTAGGTTTTATCAAAGGAAAATCGTTTTGAGAGTATTGAAGCGCTGTCCGAGTGCTGAGTCACCACCTTTCTGGTGAATGCATAGTTACTTTCAGCTTACACATAGATATGAAGTATTTCATATAAA